TTACGTTTGCATAAAGATATCCGATTTTATTGCGCGTTGGATTCTTAATAATAAGTTAATAAGGGGCGGCAATAAATTTTTATAATAGACGCCATAAATGTGGTTTTTTATGATATATTATACAGTGATAATTAATACACAAGAGAACAACTATAGAAAGCTGATGAATAAAATTCGATCTGACCATGTCAGATCTGTTTTAAGTTTAGTCGCAGAATCCGATAAAGCATTATCCGATCCGTTCATTGGAACTTTGCGGATCCGACCAGAATTCAATGATAGGATTTCTTGACTTGAATACGCGAGATATAATTCAATTTGACTCCGCGCTATTCTACCGACAACTTTAGAGACCAAGCAAAACCACTTGGTTGCTTAGTTTTTCGCTCTGTTCCTTTTTCATAGACCATGGAAGACAACTGCGTAACGTCCACCTTCGTTTTATTGAAGCATTTGAGGCTATGTAAGCACAACAGCTTCCTTCTGTGCTAAATTGTAGCAGGTATCTTATTATAGTCGTTTTCTTCTCATGGACAACGGCAGGCATACTCCAACGACACAGAGCTCTATGACAAGATTAAAATGAACCTCAAATGACTTCAAGGTGGGTATCCTTTACCATTTTTCCTGCTCACTGTCATATAACAGGATTAACATTTTTCATCGTTGATGCGCATCAATAATAAATGAAAACTCATCAAAACGAAACACTTCGATGAGTTTAATCGTTTACAACGACAGTAGCTCCATTGTATTTCACCAGTTATCTCACTGATATTGGGCATGCAATTTTTTTATATTTACATTTATTTTGACCGTATACTTTGGCTTGTGTCGAACACTACAATAGTAATGGAATAGCATACAGTTTGTATTGTAACTAAAATAGGTTTTTCTCTAACTCGCATTTGGTTTGATTTTTTATAGTAATGTGAATATATATGTGGAACATTTAGAAAACAAATCGATCCTTGTTCATCGCATAGTATGCACACAAAAAAACCCTCACAATAAGCAGTGTTGCTGCAGGACTTGTCGGGTCCCCAAATGAGACTCTTCATGAATACCACCTACGTAAGAAAAAAGTATACTAGTTTTTAAATGGGTAAAGTGCTTATCGGTAAATCTTGTTAAGTACTTAATAGTTTTTTCCTAAATAAAGAAAAGAGTATTGAACACTCTTAATATTAATACAGGAAAATAAATTAAATTTTGTGTGTTTTCACTTTTCTTCGTAGATTTTAGTACTTTTTCACACTTTCAATAGTACTTAATAATACTTTTAGTCTAAAAGTACTATTAAGTACTTAAAAAATTTCACTTATCAACACTCTTACTGTTTAAAAACTATTAATGAACGTATTTAATAGTGTTTTTTTCAAACCTTTTTCTTTACATAAGCAGTGTTCTATAGATGACCTATATAGGCATTGAAAATTCTATGTAAACTATGCTTTTGAATTCTTGTGTACTCCTATATTTTCATGGAGTGACGCTAGATAGCCATCAGAGGAAAAACATCTGTTTGAAGTGAAACATTCAGTATATCATAAAGACCACGAAAACTTCTATTAAGGAGAATTTGGAAACGAAACTCTTTGTTTAGATTTTTATCTTGAGATCCCACCATAGGATCAAAACTCAGTACACAAATTATAACTCGAGAAGAAAACCCTAATGGCACAGATACTTTAAAGATTTTTATCTACGCTATGAGTCATATTTATGAGCTGATTACCCATGTAAAAAAAAAGTAGGCAAAAACCTACTATTAAGTACTTTCAAAAGTAGATTTTAAACAGGAAAAAGTACTTATAAGTGAACCTTTTTAAGTACTTTTCATACTTTTTGACTAAAAAGTACTATTAATTACTATTGAAAGTGTGAAAAAATAATAAAACTCACTTAGAAAAGTGAAAAAAAGTAATAAAAGTTAATTTATTTTTCTTTATTAATATTAAAAGTACTAAATAGTATGTTTGATTTAAGAAAATACTATTAGGTACTTTTGATATTAATACAGAAAAATAAATTAACTTTTATTACTTTTTTTCACTTTTCTAAGTGAGTTTTATTATTTTTTCACACTTTCAATAGTAATTAATAGTACTTTTTAGTCAAAAAGTATGAAAAGTACTTAAAAAGGTTCACTTATAAGTACTTTTTCCTGCTTAAAACCTACTATTGAAAGTACTTAATAGTCACTTTTTTGGGTAAAAATTTTTACATGGGTATGAGCCCAAACAGAAATTATTAATTGAATAAGTTTTTCGTTAGACAGATCACTTTTGAATAACAGACTAGTCTTGTCATATTTCATGAAAACTGTCAACTAAATTGACAGGAAGGGTTTGGATTGAGGAAACCAGTTGAAGGCAATTATTAATGAAGATATTTTCGGATAAAGATAAGACGTGTCTCACAGATATGATTATAGGGAAGGCTAAACATTTTGCTTGTCTTCTATTCACTTGGGAATTATAGTGAATTTTGAATTTTGATGTCAACTAAGTCAGTTTTGTGATCAGGAATCATAATTGATGATTATAGTCGTGGTCGTATGCTGCTATACTAGTTAAATTCGATCGAAAAAGTCAAAAGAATTACTTCAGACTTAAATCAGAACTCATATAACGTAGTAAACCTTGTTTGTTACCAAAAGTCATTCTTCGATTAGTTAAGTGGTGACAATTAAAAATTAATTATTGTTATCGTTTCCGATCAAGACGCTTTGTCTTGTTTTTTTTTAATGAAGTCAGTCACTTCACAAACATTGGCTTCAATTAGAATTTACGCAATTATGTCAGACAAGTAATAGAAAAATAATAGCTCCTTTTTTCGACTACCTTGCAATATAGAGTGTCGTCCAGAGATAGATTCGAGAGCCCAATATATTTTCTACAACTACTACTAGCTGCAGTTCTTGACACAGGGCTGATCTGAGTCAGAGTTCTTCCGCTCAATTACTTGAGCTCCACGTACATACTGACTAACTACAAACTAACTATGAGAGCACGTGTGTATTGTAACGTAGTTAGTATGCTATTGTACGAGTGATACGAGACAAACAACTGTTACAGACTTGTCTAAAGTAATTCCATGATTGATGGTGCCAATCGGTGTGCTGGAAAAATGTCGAAACAGAAAAATGTCGAAAAAAATGGTGGAAAAATGTCGAAAGGAAAAACATCGAAAGAAAAAATACAGAAGTGGAAAAATGTCGAAAAGTAAATTTTCGAATAGAAGAATATCGAAACAGAAAAATATCGAAAAAAATAATGTCTCCAGTAGATAGTGACAGTAATCACGTCTACTTCATAGTTGCTTTCCTTATAATTCTACTAGTATAGAATTTTAACCAGTAGTTGTAATGACTATAATATCTAATCTAAATTTAATACAAAGGTTGAGCGAAGAACTGTTATATAAATAAAATTCTATTATCATGTCTGAAGCTGCTGTATCTTTACCTGATATTACTCGATCAATATCGCCAGATATTTCATTTATAAATTCAAATAAAGGAAAGCCTTTACTCGTAGCAAATAACTACGTTTTCAAATTGAATAAAACAACAGCTACAACTAAATATTGGATATGTACACTTAATGGATGTTTAGCTAAGTTACATACAAATTTGAATGGTCAATTAACTAAAACAATTTGTGATCATAATCATCTTCCAGAAAAAGAAAAACTTGAAGCTCGTGAATTTCGTGAAAAAGTCAGACAATGAGCAATAAATGAAACAACACCAATTCCACGTATATATGATGAAGAATGTGCAAAAGCCATGTTGTCAGATGCTGTAATAGCCGTATTACCAAGTGAACGTGAAATGAGTATGCAAATATTATTCTTTTACAGTTGCTAAACAGAAAAAATGATAAATCGCTTTTTTTCATTATCTACATTTGATCTCTGTTGGAACGTTAACATTAACTCATATAATAAAACATGTTCTTTAGTATTCACAACTCTATGAAACATTTATCACCCATTTTTCATATCGATGTTTTTCCTTTCGACATTTTTCCTCTTCGTTCTTTCGACATTTTTACGACCAACCGTGCCAAGCTGTCAAACATGGTAGCTTATCAGTATATACCAAAAACGTTAATATTTCAGCCATAGCAGTTCGTAAAATAATATGAATTCTGTGAACTTCGAAGAATGAGATTCTCATGAAATATTTCTAAAGACTAGTAATTAATTCTTTTTCTCGAATAGTCTGTCTGATGTAGAAGAATGTTTTAGGTACTAAATTAGATTTCACAAGAAATATTGATCATGTTTTATTCATTATCTTGCTGAATTTGAGCTGATCGAGACACTGACTGCTACTTGTGGTATGGGTTAATTCATCTCGACTTACGAGAGAACGTTTTCAACTGTCAAATTCCTTTTGAGTTCGGACTTTGTACATAATATAGACCCTAGTGAGGTATGAAAAACTTCAAGATATTAAATTCCCTTAGGCCTTCTATCCACAGTTATAAGCATTTTACTGGAATTTTAGCCTAGGGCATGGTATATACGAACAAATTGAATGACGACATTCTGGTCTGAGATTTTGCTCATAGACAGGACTATTGATGATTAGAACACCCTGAAAATTACAGCTCAAACGAACATTTCCTTCCCGAAATATTGAAGTAACAAAAAACAGAGAATCCTAGCATTTGTTGTTCTATATGAGTCATGTTTGGGACGTTAATATCTCGGGAAGAAAATGTTCTTTTGAGCTGAAATTTTCAGGGCATTCTAATCATCAATAGTCCTGTCTATGAGCAAAATCTCAGACCAAAATGCCGCCATTCAATTTGTTCGTATATACCATGCCCTAGGCTAAAATTCCAGTAAAATGCCTATAACTCTGGACAGAAGGCCTAAGGGAATTTAATATCTGGAAGTTTTTCATACCTCACTAAGACCTATGTTATGCACAAAGTTCGATCTCAAAAGGGATTTGACAGTTGAAAGCGTGCCATCGTTAGGATTCAAAACTTCATATTACTCGATTGATGGTTGAATAGAATAGAATTATTCAAAAGGCTTTTATCAATGTGTGAAAACAGTTGTTTACGTGGTTTGATAAACTGGATACAATCAATCACACATTGGACTCAGTACTTTTCTTATAACGCTGCCACATCAAGTAGTTGAATCCTTATGTCCTCTCAACTACTTGAGATGAAACGTTTCCATATTTTTTTTTATCAATAGTTCTTCTCTCTCTATTAATATGATTGTTCTTTCCATGAATAAGTTTCGTGAATATTGAGCAACGAGAACTAAACCAAAAGTTCTCTCGTATGTCACGTACATTCATTAGAATTCATTGTTTTTTTAATCATCTAATGGGAAACATTTGTTAAAAAATACTGAACTTCGGCATGGTCCTAGATGACTAACTTTCAGACTTTTCTCTCACTAAATTGCTAAATAAAACTATAGCAAACACTCGATGATAAATCTTATCATGCATGTGTTCAATAGAAGAAGAAGTAGATGATTAATTAATAATATTGAATATCAATTATTGTTTATTTTTTTTCTAAAATGAATTATTAGACAATATTCATCACATCATTTGATATTGGAGTAGATAAGTAAATGAAATTTTAATTCGAATATTTTATGTTTCGTTGATAACACTGAGAGACAAGACAAAGAATTGTTTTTTTATGGTTTTATTTTATGATAAGTTTGTTGTCAATAAAAACAAAGAAGTTTTCAGCTAAACAAAAGAGAAACTAGTATAAATCTTCCATCGATAGTTGATTAAAACCTTTTCTTATCTTCTGTGTTCTGATTAAAATGTATTGACTGCTTTTATTACAATGCGAAGCACTGTATAGTGATCGTTGTCTTTCTCGAATTTTCCATCCGTAGTCCACACACTGTGGCGCCATAATCTCGAGAACAGTACATCGGCTGATATTGGTTAAAACGTCATAAAAGATGTTGAAATCTCTATATGATATAAACTTTGTCCGATTTTGTGTGTGATGCTTCTTTCGTTCAAAGTAAAATCCGAATATTATAACTACATATTATATGGATTTTGTTTTCAGTATGCCATATAATGAGGAAAGACTCGACGCTGGTCTTAGCGATGATTAATTATCGCTAGCACTAATGATAATCTATCGATGAGCTGTTACTCACATCTTTGTTAATTATCAGAACCCTATAGGAGACTACTAGAAAATTCGTTCTTGATGATAATGCAGGAAGAAACCCAGAGTGAAAATAATCAAGCTCTTTCTTTATCAAATATTTGTGCTATTCTTTTATTTCAGTCAGTTGATTTATAGACCATACTGTATCAATATAATGTTTCAACAAATGACTGGATATGATTTAATGAAAGTCGAATAGCTTATCATATCAGAATGAAAGAAACTACTTCAAACAAATAATAACAGTTAATGCCGACAAAATATAATAACGATTTTATTACCATCAATAAAAAAAAATACTACTTGAGAACTGATATTACATCGATGTATGATATCCTTTCAACAAGAGAACGCATTTAATGTATGCTGAATAAGTGCGCGTTTGTTAAAACAGAACGAAATACAATCTCATTCATTTGTACGAAGACAATATGAAAAATATATGTAATGAGGATGCTGAATATCAGTATTCATCGTATTTGAACAGAACTCTTGTTAAAACATGATATAGTTTACCAGCAATTTCGCAATATAAATTGATTAAATCAAGGGATTTATTTCGCCATAATAATCAGAGTAGATTTCGATGTAAATTTTCATCAATACGATGCTTACACACTTTACATTTTCTGCGCTATGTCAAAAACCCAAAGCTGAAACTCGAAATGGTTCGCAAACCTGCTCGCGCTCTAAGCTGAACTCATATGCCATCTACTTTTATTCTCTCTGAGACGATCGACAAATCAATTTAAGAAAATTCTTAAATTGAAAGAAAAACAACGACATTAAGATAGTGCAGATTTCGATAAGTGTTGCTCAGATTTTACACAATTTTCTACTTGTTTAGAGTCAGCGATTATCGTATTTGTGCATTGCAATATCGAATGAAATTCAAGCTTGTTAAATGATTCAGAAACGAAAAATAGGTTAAACATATTACATCCAAGAGAGAAATAGTAACCTTTAAGACTTCAGGAGATCTAAAAATACTTTAGGTGACTTCAATAAACTTCACCGGACTTGAAAAACAATTTTTAAAGACTTGCAGTACTTAAAAAGATTGGAAAAATTTCAGAAAAATTCATGGAACTTCAAAATTGAAGTCTCTACTATTTCTTCGCTGATTTTACCGTCATTCATTTTACAGTTTCAGATAATAAAACAAGTGATAGCTAACATATTTTTAAGATGGAAAACAAGAGAAAATAAGCTCTTATTATGGCCAGAACAACTTCTGAAGCATCAGCAAACTCTTTAAAACATATTGAATGGATGTGGCAGTCTAATCCAAATCCATGGTCAAAATCTGAGCCAGCTACATGGAGTCACTACTCAGATGTGGAAAACTTAATCATCGAAAGAGCATTTGCAAAAAGCCAGCCACGGGCAATTTTGGATAATTATTACATTGATTTCAAAGATAATTTGCAAATATCCACCATTGATGCCAACAAGCAAAGACCTGTAAAACGAGTGGTGCGCGAAAGAGAAGACAAGCATCTACGAGAAGAACGTTTTATGGATCTTCCGGTTGCTTCAAAAGATTTATTCGGTGGTGAATATGGTTGGGTGTCGCCATTTGTAATCGAAGTCAGAAGAGACTTGGGTCTTAAACCAGATGAATTACCTTCTAAAAAGCCAGATATGATACCAAAACTTGTTGAGAAAGCTGCTCGTGGTATTATTGAAGAAGGAAAGCATACAGGAAAATACTGTGAAGCCGAGGAATTGGCTAATACTCTGAGAGAACAAAAAAACAAGGGAGCAGACGAAGTATGGAAATGTTGTGCTTACCTTTACACATTGGAAAGTTTCCTGTACAAAACCTTGAATGCAGTCATGAGATTAGTAGGTAGCAAAGAGGAAGAACAGAACTGGCGAAGTAAAATTCGCACATTGGGACCTTTTTGTTTATTGCTCTGGGATGATCCTTGCAATAGAAAAATAAAAACAGAAATTACACTTTACCGAGGAGCCGAGCTAAAATACGAGCAGATCGCTATTTATAAAGAAATGGTGAAGCATCCAGACGACTATCGATCATTTCAAGCGTTTATATCGTGTAGCCGCATTCGGGAAAAAGCAGAGAAATTCGGAAATACTTTATTCATCATGGAAGTATTGTTTGCTTTTACTGCTGATCTTCGTGAATTATCTGAGTATCCTGACGAAGAAGAAGAACTTGTTACACCAGGTGTTTGTTTCCGTGTTGAACGCGTTGAATACGATCACTATACGAACAAACATTTGATCTACTTGCAACTAAGACAACGATGGTCTAGTAAGTAGAAACAATTCTTTTCTCATAGTTTTTACACCATGAAGTATTTGTCCTAAATATTTCCACTCTCATTTGATATGTAGCATTGAAGTTACGTCAGTCGACATAGTTGTAACTTCCTCATATAAATGTCTCAAAGTTTTATCTAATATGAAAATCAACGAATAATTAATTAAAGGACCATTGTATCCTATTATAATATGTAAAGCAACCTTATGTTTTCTTTAAAATTTAATTACTTATTTGATGATAATTAATAATACGCATGAATTATTACAAATCAAACGAAGTGTATAGCATTAGACTTTGTCCACTTTAATTAGATTGAGTTGAGAATTAAATGGAAAATGAATCAATCTTTTCAAATCTTTCATTTGAATTTCTATTAAAAATTCAAATAGCGAAAAATATGAATAAATATTCTGTAGTATAGTGAAAGATTGCTTTCTACAATCTTACATATGATTCAGCCACACACACTAACTTTTAATAGCTAAATGTACTTACCTCTGATATCGGTTATTATAAAGACTATATCATTTATATGTAAATTTAACCTAAAACAGTTAATTAACAGATCATTATCGAAAAGATAACACAATCTAAATAATGATATTAGAATTCATAACTTCATTTTAATCATTGTACAATAAACATATTAATGCAAGAGAAACAATACTGTTCACTTGTTTCAAACTTCAACTACGTATAAAAAATTATGATCTATCAGCAATAGTCGAGCTTTTACTAAATTATATTTTTCGTCAGTATGATCTCCTACTAATTATAGATTTTCTATAAGGGGAAAGTTAACTTTTGTTCATGTTTTATAAAAGTAAACTAGTCAATTGATAATCATATTGGATAAAATTTGGCCAAATGTATATGCTTAAGTTACAAAATCATCGGCTGGTATAATGTTGAGACGACAGATTCGTAATCAAATGATACAGTGACATCTACATTACTTCTATGATTCAAAAATTGTCACGTTTCCTTGGGTCAACAAGATCACCAGTAACGTTGAAGTTGCTTGATGTAAGGTATGCATAATGGCAAAAGTCGAGTGAACCTTTTTCTACCATTTTTATATATGATTCGATAGGGTACGAACATTTGGACGCACTTATTATTTTTAAATTCATGGGGGCAGATTTTAGGGAAGAAAAACAAATGATGACGAAGGTAGTGATAACTAGTCAAAACAGCTACAATATCAGTTTTCTTCAGATATTTTCAAGGTTTCTGTTACTTACATGTGAGTATTTTTTCAAAAGAACTATTTTCTAACTCAGTATTAAAACGTGAGTTGAAAAATATTATTTGCATGACTTTGAAATGGAAGTGTAATCTGACATGAGTCTGTTCAATGAGAGTATTCAAGCACCCATGTGCATTATTCATATACAATTTTCTAAATTTTTCTAGGTTTTCTATATTGAGCGATAGAACTGTGTCATATCCTATTTAAGTCCGTATAGACATGTATTTTGAAAGGTACTCTGTTTTTTTTTCTAGATTTTGTTTCATCGTTGTGAGAATTAGATTGTTACGATTTTTCCCTGTTTGTAGACTAAAATCATGAAAACTTATGCAGATATTTACTTAATTTCACCCTTATTTTTGCGTCATATGAAAAAAAACAGACAAAATATTCGGAATCAGTGTAAAAAAAACTACAACGAATCATGTCTTTTAATCATAAACGCTTTTCATCAAAATCATTCTTCAAGAAGTCCACAGGGAAAATTTTCAACAACTACAATTAAGGAGTACAAGCATCATATCATAACATGTTTTTGACAAAAGACATTATTCGTTGTAACTTTTTATGATGCTTCTGAATTTTGTATGTGTATTTATATCACAAAAAACACTAACGATTAAATCAAGTAAATATTACATAAGTTTCCATGATTTTAGTCTACAAACAGGGAAAAATCGCAACAATCTAATTCTCTCAACGTTGAAATAAAATCTAGAAAAAATAACAGGGTACCTTTCAAAATAAATATCTATACGGACTTAAATAAGATATGACACATAGTTCTATCTCTCAATATAGAAAACCTAGAAAAATTTAGAAAATTGTATATGAATAATACACATATGTGCTTGAATACTCTCATTGGACAGATTCATGTTGAATAAAACTTTCATTTCAGAGACACTCAAATAACATTTTTTAACTCACGTTTTAACACTGAGTTACACAACAGTTCTTTTGAACAAATACTCAAATGTAAGTAACAGAAAACTTGAAAATATCTGAAGAAAACTGATATTGTAGCTGTTTTCAGCGGTTTTCATATCTTCCTCATCGTTTATTATTTTTTTCTTAAAATACGAATCGATCGATTTAAAAATAATTAGTCTCTGGCAAACTTTTCTTGCTGTCTTGAATTATATATAAAGGAGCTAGAATGAAAATCGACACGACTTTTGCATCATATACAATTGTAACAATCGAAGATTCATTGTAAATGATGATATGATTTTAACAAAAGTATAATTCAATCTGAAATTCATATCGTGTTAATCATCTGTAGGGGAAATCTTTCATGTTTCTGTACTAGATTATTGACGGATTCGATAGATACTTCGCCGATTCACGTTTCTTCTTGCCTTAACTAAGATTAAAACCAACTAATAGTAAAATATAAAAGGTTAGTTTCATGGGAAGTTAACCACAAAAGACACATATTGTTCGGAAAATTTTCTTTGCTATCAGCGTTTGTAAGGATTTTCTCGCTAATAATGTTGATAATGTAATTTTTCGGATTTCGTTCGAAAATGGTGATGTTTTGTTCAATGTACTATAAACAGTAAAATAATTCAATTGAGAACTTTTTATTGTTTGACCAAGAGAGATATTTCATCTATTCTGTGCTGTTTTATTCAATATTGTTCGATTGGAATAGCTGAACGCAATAGTATGAACCACATTTATGATTAAAACAGGAGAAGTATGATTTCTTAATAGTTCTTAAGCTTCATCTATTCCAGCTGTAGATTGTACTAAATATTTGTTTGAGCATAGAAACACTATCCATCAATTTTAAAAGACTTCTTGACATTAATGCATAGCAGGTCTTTAAAAAGGTTCCTTGGCATCTTATCATGCGGAACAATATTTTACTTCACCTTCTTAATATATTTGATATACATATACTATTTGGAGCACAGTGAATCCTTCAGAAATCATGCTAGCATATACGAGTGGAAGAGTTTTGAAAATATTGTACTTCATCATTTTGCTGCGCAGTTATCAATGAGCTTTTGAGCATCAGCGAGCGATGATCCGAAATTTCCAAAAATTCTATCACCTACAATCTGAATGGTCGTCAGGTGAAGCTGGCCATTTTATTGTATGGCAAGATGGTAAGAGACTTTTCGTAAGACCTATTATAAATAATGTGAAGAAGTATTTTACAGTTAATCAATTTTGTTTTTATGCTCAAACAGTTACTTGGCACAATTTTTCGTTCAAATACATAAAGCTTGAACACTATCAAGAGTGAATGAGTGAGCAAACTAGTCATTATAGAATATCCGCGACGGATGAACATTGCAGAATTCGCTAATTTTTTATTATATTATAGAGGGTAATAAGTTTCGTATTCTTTGAAATTTTCAGCCTGATTTGATAACCTTTTCTTAGACAAAACATCAAAATACTGACAGAATTCTTAGTAATAATTTTTTTCGGTCTTCCGCTGACTTCATTTACTAAAACTGACCTTTGGATTTCACTTTGAGAGACTTTTGATTCCTATTTTTTGTAAAATACCAATAGGAATGTTCCTTTTCTGCATATGAAAATTCTAAAGTTTTAGTCAATCCTTTAAGAATCCCGCAAATACCATTAAAAAGCCTATCGTACATTGTTTAAATTGATTTTCACCATCGTGTGTATTCAATCGATTTTTTATGCACCCACAATCAATTGCTTTCATATCTGTGATTGTGGTAGAACTCAGAAAGTTTCTATCATCTTATATACTGTGATTTTTATCTTCCATGCAAAACTCGATCACTGGTAATCAAAAAGCGCTCTTTTTTTCTAAGGACTAGTATATTTTTTGATGATACTGGCATATGTATCATAAACCACGGTTTTTTCACTCGTTAATATTTTGTTGTGTCACCATTTTTCGCATTGTCGATGCTGCAGGGATATAAAATTACAAAAACTAGGCTTAACACAATTTTGGTACCAAAAGAAAAACAGTAGCATGTTTTTTTGCGAAAAATAAACTGGATATGCAGAATCAGCGTGCACAAAAACACAAGAAAATATTTTTTCCATCATTAATTACTTTTGATGACAATTACATCGTCCTTATCTTCAACAATTCATTCTTTAAAAGTTATCCTGTGAGATTCTACAGATCACATTATGATGAAAAGCATTTTAAACTGAACAATTTATTTTTGGTATCATTTTGCAAGCTGATTGTGAATATTTGACTTGATTTTCATTAAAAAAAACTTTAATAAATTAATATTTTAAAATATTTCCTTTCTGTGGTACTCTCTACGAAAGTGGGTCCGTCTCTTAACGTGCTGTTATTTTTCTGCTTGTACTGTGACTGTCAATGTCTAGTTTTGTTATTTTATATCCCTATACCATCCACAATACAAAAACTAGCGGAACAAGAAAATATTAACGAATGCTGAAATCTTCGAGGCTTGAATTTCAATTGAATCTATCGTTTGGATATGGTTTGGACATAGGAACTAGAATTTCAGCTATCTTTTGAATTTGGTGTTGGAATTCGGGTCTTCGACCTACATGATCTCAACTTTGAAGCTGTGTCAGAATGAAACCAAATCTAAATCTAAGACCTGAATTTATATCCCAAACCCAAACCTATACTAAACGCAAACTATTTCATATCAATTTTGAAGTCTTACGATTCTTTTCTCACTCATAATATTTTATCTTACAGAGCCTCATCAGATTTGGCTAATTTAAGATCAAACTCAAACTCAAATCCAAGTCTAAATCAAATCCATATATTTCGACACCAAATGGCAAGGCCTTGAATTAGTTACATCCCTACTTCATATTGAACATACAAAATTCATGATTTTTTCAATTAAAGTTTCTCTCACGGTACGCAACGGAATTTCATAATAGGTCCATCATCTTCTCTGATTTCTTACTAGTTCAGTACTCCTAATTATGTTGCAAAGGACTCTCACTTTGAAACAAACAAAAGAATTCACAGGCGAAGAGTACTAATTAGAAAAATAGCTTGGAGGTCGCTTTCTTGTGCGTTAGCCATTTTTGGAAATTACTTAGACAATTCAATATGGTATATCATGAGTCATCGAAGCGTCTTAGAAATTCAATTTTCGTGTTCTGTTCAATTTGAAGCGCTGTCTATGAACTTCTTTACTGTCTTCATATATATTTGTTTGAACTTTTCGACTGACTGAGTAATTGATGTAACTTCTAAATATAACTTTTGCCTTATAGCAATTATTGAAACTTTTAGCTTTACGAAAAAATTTCACTTTTCCAAAACCTAAACATTGCTCTCTAAAAACATTGTAGCCTTAAATCTAACAAAGAAAAGACTAGCAACAAATTCTTCATATGGCACTGCGAACATCAAGATCTTCCCCGCTGAAAACTTGCGCAATCTTGAGAATTTCATTACCCAAAATAGAAAGATGTCTACAACCGATTTCCACAAGTGCCGCCTCCTCTCAGAACATCGCGTCATTATTGATAATAAGAAATATTAAACTAGATCCATATATTCCACTTCGTGAATCCACCAAGAATTACCATCGAATTTCAACTTTAGTGAGACATCAATCCGACGTCAAGAAAAAAACAAAAGTCTGGCAAATAAGAAAAGATCCATATCGATACTTTTCATTGTCTATCTTGACATCAATCACAAAACCGAAACCCCATAGAAGATTGAATGTTGAAATAATTTTCGATTGAAGCCATGATGAAATTGTTCTAAATTATGCGTCATCATTCGACACTAAAGAAACTCGATGCTAAAAAACAACATCGCAGATTTCCGAATTGCACAGCAATGAGACAAAGTCTAATATCATATCCTCATCATTCAGCTTCAAATAACTCGATCCTGGAAAAAAACCATCAAACATTTCAGAATCGAATAATCGTAAGCTGAGTTCTAATTTAACATAATCATCATGGAATTCTAAA